ATAAAAGCCTAAAAAGCGCAAAAAGCCAAGGATATTAACGGCAATAAACAAAAAAAAAAAACCAAGAAAACAACAATGAACAATCTAGAGATCACATCACCACACCTAGAAGAAAACGCCGCGAAGGATGGACAGAAGACTCCGTGGAACTCGGCGTCAATTTGGGAGCAGCAGCGTTGCTCTAGCTGAATGGAACGCCGATCAACATTGCCGGGGCCGGCACAGAACGGATGCCATGCAGCCGCAGAGCAGAATGCAACGCCCCACACCTTGGTACAAGAAAGCCATTGAGCAGCATCCCGCGGACAGGCAGTGCACCGTGTAGTGTGTCAACCTTCACAGGCTCACAATCTCTCCTGACTGCACTTCAAAAACGGGTCCTCTCACGGCATCTGTCCCGATACATCGTCGACTCAGGACACTCCTGCTCCGCACGCCGCACCGAGGAGCGCGCACACGGACGCAGTCTGTCTTCGGCCACTGCGGCGTGTCCAGGAACGGAGCTTGTGGTGCGAAATCCGAGAAGGCATCCGACCTCGCACAGCTCACAGACAGATGGATCACCGGCATGGTCGCACTGTCCAAACATATTATTCGCGCCCGACAGCTCAGGGAGGAAACTCGCTGCTCCACTGCAGCAGGCGACTGGGACCCACGCGCACGGACACCACCTTCACTCATATGGGGAAGAGGCCGCACTGGCCCGCCTCCGCACCGGGGTTCTGCTCAACTACGGATGACTGCTACGGCTCCTGCAGCCCGCCATCCCGAGCACATGCCGTCGCTGCGGCCCGGATGCCGCACAGCAGGCACGCAATGAACCTCGCACGGAAACGCCTCCTTCTCCCGCTGGACCCCACCCCGCCACGATCCGACGCCCGGCAGACTGGCCGGTGTGCGGCAAGCACTGCAGTTGCCGCGCCAGCGTCGTGACGCACATGGCCAACGTCCGTGGCATTACGCGCTCCCAGGCGCCGTGGAAAGTCAAGTTCCCCGGTGAGCCGGAACCGCCGGGAATTCCACCCGCCACTTGAGCGAGGACGAGAACGAGGGACGGCACACTGATCGCACCTCCGCCGCAGACTGCACGGCCCAGGCCGAGGCCATTCGCTGCTCGGCGCCGTGCGACCAACGAGCCGGACTCAGAGTTATTCTCCGGCACTTCCACGAGCAGTACAGCACCGGAGCACGAAGGGGGCGTCCCCGTGAATATGACGATCTGGCTGCATCCACCCCGTTCCAGCGCACGACCTGTGGATTCGTTGCCCACACAAAAGCGAGAATGACATCCCATTCACGCGCACACGCACGCTCCGGAACACAGCCGGAGCCGGCACCAGGGACCACAGCACTCCATGGATGCCCTTACTTCGACAGGGGGGCGGGCAATGCCGGGGATTGACCACCCACACCCGGCACAAACACCCGACAGCAAGAAAGTCGTGACACCAAAAATGGAGATTAAATAACCACGCGCTGCAAGGCTCGAACCTCAGCATGAAGAACATCAAACCCATAGAGAAACCCCGTCTCCGCGCAGGAGAATGCCACCGAGAAACAGTGTACCGTGTGTCTAAAATGGCAAGCACACATGCGTTGATTAACGTCACGCTGTCGCCGATTTCCACGAAGGCAGAGGCGTCAGGCCGCGGAGAAGGCGCACGTTTCGCGGCGACGACAGATCAATGGGATCACCACCGGCTGAGCTTCGCCGTCCAGCATGCGTGTTTCAGTGCCACAGCAATGGCTGACTGACCCGCTGCCGCACGGCACGCCACGGGCATGCACCGGACATTGTGAACACCGGC